CAGAGACCTTAAGGCTACAGCATCTGGGGTAATGCTCTCATTTTCTAGACCGAAGCCCAGAGATGTGAAATGACAAACCTGAGTACTTAGTGGTGGAGGGACTAAATAACGTCCTGCTCTTTCCTGGTCAGTCCACAGATAGAAAAATTTTTTTTCTACACCTAGGGCTGTGTGAGTGCATCAAGAAGAGAAAAGTGCTTTAATGAGCTGTTGCAGATGGACTCCTGGGAACCAGCAAGGGCAATGTGGTACAGTGGATGGACCTTTACAAATCTTGCTGCCCAGACGTCTGGGCATGGCAGCTAGGGGAGATTGCTACTAGAATGGGCAATGATGTAGGTGGACAGGCTTCATGCAATTACGGACAGGATTCTCCAAGTGCCAACATCCTGGCTACAGGCCTGCCCCCCTCCAAGCAATAGCCAAGACTTTCACCAGCTGCTGCTGGGCTCAGACCCACCCTATCAGCCCCTGGGTCAGCAGTCCAGAGGGCTAAGTTGGAGTCTGCTGCTTTCTGGACAGCAGTGACCTCTTCTGCACCAGGGAGCTCATTGCCAGTCAGGGGCCCTATGGTGGCCTCTCTTGACAGAAGGTGAAGATGAAAGCAATAATGAGCTGGCTGTTCTGCAGCCCCTGGTCACCCCTGGTTTTATTAAAGCCAAAGCTGCAAACATCCTCAGTGAGGATAAAAGGCTGGCAAGTATCTGGGGCTGAAACCTCCTGAGAAAACGGGTGGTGCTGAGAGGATGCAGCAAGGCTGCCCATGGGGCCAAGCTGGGCCTGGCTTTCCAGAGATGCTGACTTTCTGTCTGCTTAGCCCAATCTATGAACTCAAAAGTAAACGATTTTCCTTTATCAAGTAACCTGGTCCTCTGCTGTCTACAAGGGCTTCTCAGGTGGTGCTAGTGGTAAAGAACCCCCCTGCCAATGCTGGAGACATAAGAGATGCAGGTTTGATCCCTGGGTAGAGGAGATCCCCTGGAGAAGGGCATGGCAACCCACTCCAGTGTTCTTGCCTGGAGAATCCCCATGGACAGAGGAGCCTGGCAGGCTACAGTCCATGGGGTCACAAGAGTCAGACATGACTGAAGTGACTGATCACCCACCGCTGTCTACATGTGCAGGGGAATTAATATTTGCCTTGACTCACTGGACCAAGAGTAGCTGTTTTGCCATCAGGCCCAATCACCCACAGCAGAAGGTCCAAGATGGGACTTCAGGCCACTTGGCACCAGTTTCCTCTCTGCCCCCAAGTCATAGTGGACTCTTGAGCCACTGCTTTTGCCTGCTGGGGCCCAGCGGTGGAGGGTGGAGCTCACTGTTGGGTGCAGGAACCAGGAGGGGGGTGGGGAGTTCCAAATCTGGCTGCAGACTCAGCACCTCGTGTGCCCCCAGCTGGTGGCTCTACTGAGGAAGGAGGGGCAAGGAGGGGCCTCTGACTCTGCGCTGCCCCTGCAGGGAGCCATCTCTGAGGGCGGCCCAGAGAGCCCAGGGGATTCCGCTCACCCTGAGGGCTCTCCCACAGCCCCAGGCGAGTCTCCCAAGCTCACAAACAGACCAGCTTAGACTCCTGCGGAAAGACTGCCTTTGAAGGCTTCACTCTGCATCTGTCAGGTGGCCGAGCGGGAAAACGTGACAGCAGCCTCGTGCTCACTCCTCTCACAGGAACGAGTCAGGCATGACTGAGCACATGCTCACAGGAACCCTGGGAACTTCCAGATTGCTTACCAGGGCCCTAACTTGATGGTAACACTGATATGGAGCACCATTCCTTTCGCGGGTTCTTCTGCCTAAGTGTAACCGTCTGTGTAGCTCCTCTTGGGCCATCAAGCATCTCTGAAGCACAGTAGGTGTAAAGCAAAGGCCCTGTCTCAAAGGGGCCTCTGGTCCCTGGACGCTCTAGGAGGGCTTGGCTGTAGCAAAGCAGGGACTTGTTCACCCCTGTGAGCACTTCAAGGGCAGAAAGTGCAGCAGGGACACATACTCAGTATGGGCTGGACCCTGAGCGAGGGTCCCTGTGAGGAGCGTGGCCCTGGGCCCTCCAAGATGCATGGGATTGTCATCCAAACAAAGACAAGAGGAGGAGGCATGTTGGCTAAGTGGACCAAAGATACCCCAGCCGGCTGGAGCAGAAGGTTGGCAAGGAGGGATACAGAAAAATAATCAGGTGAGGTGGTAGGACAGGACTAATCGTTAAGGGTCCAGCATGCAAGGTAGGAGGATGGGTCTTGATTCTGGAAGCCACACAGAGGGTGCTACTGAGAGCATTCAGCCCTGGCCTATAAAAGTCTGGCCCCAGAGCACTCATTTGACCTCGCAAGTCGCTTAACTTCACCAGTCATTTCCTCCTGCATGTGGTGGGGGTACTAAGGTCACCCATCCCACAGGGCTGTAGTGAGACTCACAGAGGTAATTTAGCAAAGGACTTGGCACATGGTACGCATGCAATGACCTTGGTTCTTCTTGCTGTTATTGAGGCTGAACGGGTTTCTTGAACACTGGGCAGGATTGGACCTTGGAGGGTTATAAGGAAATCAAGGGAGTTGGGGGCCTCCTTGTACCTCGGTGCTTTCTCTAGAGATGGAACATTCAGCCAGGTGCACTGCTGACCTGACCCCTGCTGCCCGAGGGGACAGTCACGCTCCCCTGTGCCACTTGCCATGGGCCACTTCCTGTTTCTCTCTCCCTGGACTAGGGGACTCCAGAGGGAGACAGGAGATGCACCTGAGTGAGATGGAGATCCTGGCTCCTTCTTTCCTCCCTCCCTCCCTCCCTTCTCTCCTTTCTCCTTTGCTCTCTCCCTCCCTCCTTCCCTTCCTCTGCACCAGGTCTTAGTTCTGCCATTTAGGATCTTTAGTGGCAGCATGTGGGATCTAGTTTCCCAACCAGGGATCAAACCCAGTCCCCTGCATTGGGAGCACAGAGTCTCAGCCACTGGACCACCAAGGAAATCCTCTAGGCTTCATGCATGTTGAGGGGGATAGCACACTCTCCACACAACATGGAGCCTCTAGCAGGATCTCAGTAAATCCAAATGGCAAGAACAGGTTGAGTTGTAGCCTAAGGTCCAGAGGAGCCAGGGTCACCCTGAGATGTCCCCCAGGTGGGCTGCTATCCTGAGGGTCGGAGTCCAGCTCTGCCTCCCACCAGCTGCACGAGCCTGGCCAGGACATCACCCCTGAGTTTAACCTCTGAGTTCTTGTCTGTGAGATGGAGGGAATAATGACAATACCCCCTGCCTTGCACAGTCACTGTGAGCCTCAAAGGTGGAAATGCCCGTCACAGAAGAGCTTCACAGGGCACAGTTCATGTGTTTTGGTCTCAGCTCCATGAACTAGAGGGTGTGTTGGGGGTGGGGGTGGGGATTGCTCTCTCTACAGTGCGTCCAGCTCTGCCCCAGCCAGACACCCCCCTTCCACCCCTCACCCCCACCCACAATACCCCCACCCCTTTCTTTTCCAGGGAGCTGGGTGGATTCACCTGCTACTCCTGGGATTTGATTTGGGAGTGGGTTGAAAAAGGACAAATCTTGGGCTAGGGAAAGGGTGGGTGTAGTGCCACCTAGAGGAGAGCATTGGGACCACATACTCTGGAAGGGGTGGGGGAATTATTCTGCAGGAGGGGCCAAGTGTCAGGAGTCTCTCAGAGTCCCCAGAAGAGGGTGGTTCTTTGTGAGGAGAAGAGACAAAAACCTTGGTGCGATCCTTGACTGCTCTGTTTCTCTGAAGTCACCTCCTCCAGGAGGCCTCCCCAGCCAGCCTGAAATCAGAGCCAGCCCAAACCCTGACCTCTTCCTCTTCCGCCCTGGATCTGGGGGATTTAAGGGAGGAAACATCTCTACGTCCTAGAGCCCCACATCAGCCTCAGAGCCTGAGAGAGAGATTTTGCAGTGATAGCATCCTCCTCTGTCAGCTGGGGAACAGGAAGAGGAGGCAGTCCAGCAGAGTGCTGTTTAACTCAACAGTCGGACATGCTTACCATCTTTGAAGTTCTCCTATTCCCTGTTGCTCAGAAACTTCCTGGGATCCCTGGTCATGATGCTTCTGGGGTCAGAAGAGGCAGCAGGGTATATGCTCCAGGCTGAGTTCATAGCTGAAGCGTGACCACACATAAGGACAGGGTGGATCCGAGACCTGGCACAAACATGGAATGGCAAGTGTGTGTCTTCTTGGTCAGTACCATGTCCTGAGCAGGTCCTGATTCCTTGTGCTTCCACGCGCAAGCCTGGAAGTTGGAGTGCTAGGTGTGTTTCAGGAGAGGCAAGGAAGCTTCCAGGGCTTCCCAGGTGGCACTGGCAATAAAGAACCTGCCTGCCAATGCAGGAGACTCAAGAGAGGAGGGTTCAGTCCCTGGGTCGGGAAGATCCCCTGCAGGAGGGCATGGCAACCCACCCCAGTATTCTTGCCTAGAGAATTCCATGGAGGAGGAGAGGAGCCTGGAGGGCTATAGTCCATGGGGTCACAGAGAGCCGGACACAACTGAAGTGACTTAGCACACAAAGAAGCTTCCAAGGCAGGGCCTCGTGACGAATGACTGAGCCCAGAGCTAGAATCAGATATGCTGGGAGAGGGGACCCCTGCTGGCCCGAGTGGGTCTTGTACAGGATACTGTCATGACCACAGGCCAGCGGGGTGGGGAGTCAAGGGCTCACGTGACCGAGAAAGGAAAACTGGAAAATAGGGTTGAGCCCCCAAGGGCTTGGTGGCCTGGAGGGGCTGCCGCCAAGAGGCAGAGGTAGGGCAGGTGAGGCCAAAGCAGGAGGAAGAGGACCAGGACCAGAGTCTGATCAGAGCTGAGAAGGAAAGGAAGAGGACAGTGTCTGCTGAAGAGCCAATGTCACTATCACTGCCTTTTATACCCAGTTACTCCCAGGACAGAGGCCAGACCATCCGGCCTTACAGCACTCTGCCTCAGAGAGCTTCTCCTGGGCTCCGGAGCGGCCCTGCGGCTGCATAGGAGCTGTGTGGCCCTCACCTGCCCTCCTGTCTGCTTCTTTGCAGGAAAGTGTGGATTTGGGCGAGATCATGTTCTCCCTCTGCTACCTGCCCACAGCAGGCAGGCTCACCCTCACCGTGATCAAATGCCGGAACCTCAAGGCAATGGACATCACAGGCTACTCAGGTACCTCTCCTACCCAGGTGCTTGCCATGTGGCCTCCCCACAGTCCCGACTTTAGGATGTGGAGAGATGTTCAGAGAGAAGGGGGCGGAATTGCCAGTATTCTTCGATTGGAGCACAGCCCTTCAGGCAAATGGCCCGGCTTTGAATACCAGTCCTACCGTTTCCTTGCTGTGTAATGTTTTGGTTTCCTGATCTGAATAGGACAGAAAACCTTACACAGGTTGCTTTAAGGGTAAACAAGTTAATTCATGTAAATGCTTAGAAATGAGCCAGATACCTAACAAGCAGTCAGTTGTTGTTCAGTCACTCAGTCGTGTCCAACTCTGCGACTGAGCAGTCAGTAGATATTAGCTATTACAATCATTCTTTCTCTTGGAGGATGGAGAGGATAAGAAGCAAATAAATAGGAGGAAAAAATAAGAAGGAAAAATCTTTCTAGTTGGTGTGAGGCCTCAGGACTTCCAAGGGTTATGTCAAGTTTGAGTGTCTTAAGTGTTTGTTGATCCACAAAGCCCTGCAGCAGCCCTGTAGTGAGTCAGAGGAACAGAGTCACTGAAAAGCAAAGTGCATTTGTATTTGAGGTTTTCCTGCAGGGCTCTGGGCCTCTGTCTCAGCACCAGGAGAGCCGCTAGGTACCACAGGAGAGACAAGTGCTGTTCTAGCAACTGAGGAAACGCTTGTTTGGAGGCAGCCTCAGAGCCTGCAGGCTGGACACAAGGTCAGAGGTTTGATCCTTTCCCATGATTCTGCAAGTTGTTGTCATTGTGCAGGGTTTTGGGTTGTAATATAACAGCAGAGTCTCAGGAACCTTCTGCCCCGAGTTGACTCAAATTAGCCCAAGAAGTGGAAGAGGGTGGAACATTCCAAGAAGCAGGCAGGTAGAATAGCCTGGGCTGCACTCAAAGTAGCGAATGCTTGGTTTGTTTTCCTGAAACTCCCTCCTAAGAGGCTCTTCTCCAGATTCTGATTACAAACATAAATCTACTCCAGAGGTGCCTCTGAATTTGGCTGGGAGTATATGGAAGATTTTCCCTTTCATTCCTTATTTCCTTAGTATAATCACACTTGCTGCAAAGAGGTGATGATCCAGATGAACACATCTGGGCCCCGACCCAGTTGGAAGAAGACAAGATACTAGGCTTTAGAAAATGAAATTTCAGGGAAGGGTGGCCAAGAAACGCTAAAGTCAGGTGTATTTATGGCAGCTTTGAATGCCTCTGCTCCCAGACCTCCCCCCTACTGCCGCCCCCACATCTCTGTGCATCACCCACGCCTTCCAGGCTGAAAGCTGCCCCTGAAAGCGCCTGCCCTGATGCTTTTCCTTCCACAGAAGCTACCACCACACATCAGAACGTGGTGGGGAGCTTAAAGAACCTCTTCCAACATGTACAAGGCTCTTAGGCATCAGCAAGCTGGCTTCCTCCAAAAATGCAACCAATGTAGATTTCATTTTAATAACAAAATAAATATGTGCAGGGACAGAAATTCACTGAGGCCTCTCAAAACTGCTGAAGGAAATAGGATTTTGCTGCCCAAGTCCCCGCACTATCTTCTCTGGTGTAATTAAATTGATGTGCTAGAGAGAGAGTGCTTACGGCGAAGCCAAGATAACCGTGTGGGTTGTTGCGCACCAGAGGGTTGGGGGTGAGAGATTTTTCTCATGCTAAGTTCCAACCTCTCTCTCACGATTGCCTCTCTTTTCTACCTGGGTTTGGAATTGGGCATTTTTGTTTGTTTTCATTTGGAATCTGGTATTACATCTCAGCTTGATTCTGAAGATTCAAGGGTTCTCTTTTTGCTAGGAATTTCCATCTTGTTCATTGATGTAAGCAAGTGTCTGGGACACTTCATGGAACATAATAAGTGTTAAATAAGTATGAATTGAATGATGAATGAATGGGTAACTTTGTCAAAGGGTGATGCACCTGGGACACTCATGCCAGGGGTCTCTTCAAACTCGATCTGCTTTGGAGGATAAGTGTGAGTTTGCCTTCAACCCAGATTTGCTTTACTGTTGGCCTAAACTCAGGGGTGCATGAAGCTCATTAATTGCCTGTTCTTGATTTATATGACATTGACCTCTAAAACTGAGGATCTTTCTGTTCTCCTTGATCTAAACTAGTCATGAGTCAATTCCCTAAGCCTATCCACTGGAACCATGACCATAAAAAACAATAAAAATAATCATAAGTATCAGTATCCCCAAAAAGGATGGTGAGTGAGTACACCCACCTATCTCTGCCACATCTAGTCTGCACTACTTTGAGTCTAGTGGTTACAAATGTAAACTTTGGAGTCAGACCTAAATAGAAATCTTAGGCAAGTTTCTTGATCTCTCAAATCTCAAATTTTTTATCTATAAAAGGGGGATAATCATAAATATTTTATAGGATTGACATTTTAAATGACATGATATACATAAATCTCTCAGCACAATGCCTGGCATATACCAATTGCTGGATTATGATGGCCCTCATGACAAGGAGGCTGAAACAAATGCTGGGCTTTGTGCCCCTCCCTCAGCTGCATCCTAGGTTACTGGAGAGGAAAGGACCTCAAGATCATTTGGAGCCAGCATTCCGCTAGAAGCTCAAGCTTCTGCCCCAGCGCAAACCACCCAGGGAACAGTCCTATCTCTGTTTAGCCTCTTGGACGATAGTGAGATTATGTGTTCCTTCAAAGGAAATACCCACGGAATTTTATAAATTAGATATGCCTCATAGGAGTGAATAGAGATGGGGAAGGAAGCTGAGAATCTCCCAGTTAGTCATCAGGCATTTGCCTAGTGGCCCAGGGGACAGCAGAGAAGGCAGTGGCAACCCACTCCAGTGTTCTTGCCTGGAGAATCCCAGGGACGGTGGAGCCTGGTGGGCTGCCGTCTATGGGGTCGCACAGAGTCGGACACGACTGAAGCAACTTAGCAGCAGCAGCAGCCAGGGGACAGGATTCGATCTCTGGGTCGGGAAGATTCCCCTGGAGAAGGAAATGGCAACCCACTCCAGTATTCTTGCCTGGAGAATCCCATGGACAGAGGAGCCTGGCAGACTACAGTCCACGGGGGTCGCAAGAATAGGACACAACTGAAGTGACTTGGCAGCACCAGGGGCAGAGGGCTCTGCCACACATTTCTAAGTCCGGCCACGTGGGCGTTTGCTCTGCTGTGGGAGTGTATGGACGTAGGCGTGGGAGGGGATGAGCGGCCCTTGGCAGCCTCGAGCCTGAAGACACTCTCCAAGGCAGCGTTCACACTTGAGGAGCGTAGAGGTTGTCATGTCAACAACCTGTCTTGGAAGTAACTTTCCCGCTTGTCTGCTTGGACCTGAACACTGTCCAGGGCGTGTCCATAGAGCACAGAGCCTGAGGACACGAGAAAGCTGTCTCACGGCCGTTCTAGGAACTCCTCCTCCCTTTTTACTGAGCATCCTCCTGAGAGAAACCTTGCCAGTGGGTTATGAGACCCAGCAGGGTGGTCTCCCCAGGTCCCCCATAAACCCAAGCACCCCCATGGCTAAGGCACAGCTGCTGTCGTCATTAGTGGTTAGTCAGCGGCGCACCTGGGCGACTCTGGAACTGCCTTTAAGGCTTGAGTTTCTGATCAGGTGTCGAGGTTCTCTGTAGCTTCCCCAAAGCTGTGCACCTCTTCCACCACCTGAACGATTCCCCAGGGAGCGTAAGGTCGTCGTGGGTACTTGGGTGCCCGGGAGTTAGAGTCACATGCTTGTGAGTGAGCAGCCAGGGAGCAGGCTGCTGGGCCTGCATCTCCTGACGGTCACATGAGCCCTGGCTCCTGGGCTGAAGGCGTCTCAGCACATCAGTGTCTCGAAAGCTGTTATTACCTGTGAGCTGCCCTCCTGTGTCTTGAGCTGTGCAGCATAAATAACGATTATGACGGTGACCGAGACACCTGCACGGTGAGACACAATAGGTGTCGCTTCAGTTGAATGAGTAGAAAATTTCAGGGTAGGAAGCTGACTGTGAAATACCCATTCAGAAAACTAAAAGAAGAGACAAGGATGGGAGGTGCATGGGAGGTCAGTAAAAAGACATCTCTTTGAGGGCTGGAGAGATTTCAAGATCACAATGAGAAAGGAAATGGCAGCTGGCCACCCCGAGTCCCAGACCGCTGAGGCACTCAGCCCCCCAGCCACGGCCCTCTCCTCCTCCTCTGCCAAGAGTGGGCAGGAAACTGCTTCCAGGGAGGCCAAGAGCAGGCTCACTCCTCTCCTCCCTGATGCCGGGGAGAAATGAGCTCGAAGGAGCAATAAGACCCATAATCCTGTTGTCAGCTTGGGAGGACCCCACAAGCGTCGTGACTGTCGCTGTTCATTTATTCTGTCTTGTGGCTACTCCTTGGGTGTCATCAATTCTATTTTTACCCACTTTATCCTCTGGTTACTAATGCTGACAAGAACCCCTTAGAGAAAAGCCTCCAAGTAGGTAAAAGGAGGAGAGTGCTTTTGTTCAGCTTCAGCACCCTTTGGAGCCAGCCAGCCACCATGGAGCTGAGATTTAGGGTCGTGAACTGCATGCCTATGGGCAGGTTTCCTGTCTGATTTGGGGCCAGCTTCCCCATTAGCGAAAGTCCTTTAAACACTCTCCTAGAAAGCCTGAGGTCGCTAAAGACTCTGTGTTTATGAAGCACAGAGCGTCCACAGAAACAGGTGTGCAACATAAATACAAGGTGTTTTAATTATTTTAACATCCCACTGATACCATCTGAGAACAACAGTAGGTCTGGGGCTCCCATCCCTCTGCCACACCTGGTGCTTGAGGACATCTGCTTAACACGCTCCCTTCCCTTCCCGCTGCCCCCATGGGCACAGATCCATATGTCAAAGTGTCCCTGCTCTGTGACGGGCGGAGACTGAAGAAAAAGAAAACCACCATAAAGAAGAACACCCTCAACCCTGTGTACAACGAGGCCATCATCTTTGACATTCCCCCGGAGAACATGGACCAAGTCAGCCTGCTCATCTCCGTTATGGATTATGATCGGTAGGTAAGGTCCTCGGGGGCCGTGATTCCCTGCCCCTCACTCCCACCCCAATGCAGCACAGGGCTCTTTGACCTTGGACCTTGTGGCGCATGTGGCTCCGGCAGTCAGTGGCTTCAAATCTGGCTCCACCCAGGGAGGTACAACAGTTTGAGGAAGAGTGTGGATTTCCAAAGAAGCTCAAGCTTCACTTCCCAGAGGGCTCATTGCCATCAGGGGCTTCTCCACCCATCAATTTCCCTGAAATCGTTCCTGACTGTTCCCAAGTTCCTCCTTCTGGCGTCTGTCCTTGAGAACCCCTCCTTCTCCTCTCCATTCCCACTGCTGCTGCCACTCCCACTTGGGGATGTCTGTGCAGCCTCCGAACTGACCCCTGCCATCATCACTCCCTGCCTCAACCCAGCCACACCTTCCTAAAAGATCACTTTGTTCCTGGGCCTTCCCTTCTCAAGAACCATCAGTGGCTCCTGTTGTCTAAACTTTTCTCCTGAGCTCTCAAGACCTTCCAGATCTGGACCCAGGGTATCCATCCAACTTGACTTCACTCACCTTGTATGAGTTTTTTCTCTTCCACTTTTCAAATCCTGCTCTCCTGTCAGGGCTGGCCCCAACAGATTCTCCAACTACTCCAGCCACTGTGCCTCCTTCTCTCCAGTTGTCACTTTTGCTTGAAGGAGGAAAAAAAACCATGCAGTAAAGCCTCAATCCAGGATCTTTAGCACAAGCTCTCAGGCATAGTAGGTGCTTGGTGAACAAATGTGAGTGATGATTGATGCTCTTGCTGAGTGAATAAATCAAATCATAGCTGCTGGGTGTGGAGAAATGGTACTCAGAGCAGGTTGATTTATTTCCAAGTAGTGCTGATGTCTCAAGCACTCGCTGAGTCAAATAAAGGAAGAGACTTAAACTCCCATTCCCCAAAGTCAAGCCATCTGCCCACCATTCCTGAGATTCCAAACAAGGTTAGAAGTTTTTGCTCATCTGTCTGTGTCCAAAGTCCATCCAAGGAGGCCGGGGAATGTCTCACTGCAGCTGGCACCCTGAGGCCCTGCCAAGCAACTGTTTAAAGAGCTCAGTGCTCTGAATTAGACCAGCAGGGTTGAGGCCCAGACTGCGGGACCTGCCTTTCTGAGAGCATGTCTGATCACCGATGCCAGGCCCTCTGTTTCTCCCTTAGAGTGGGTCACAATGAGATCATTGGAGTCTGTCGTGTGGGGATCACCGCCGAAGGCCTGGGAAGGGACCACTGGAACGAGATGCTGGCGTACCCACGGAAGCCCATTGCACACTGGCACTCCTTGGTGGAGGTAAAGAAATCCTTCAAAGAGGTGGGTGAGGTCGCACTTGGCCCTTGGCATGTTTGCTGCATGGCAGCGCGGGCTAGAGAATGGCAGTCGGCTGCTGCGAGACCTCACCTTTGTGGGTCCTTGGTGCGGGTGGAGGTGGCTGGGTGCAGGGGGGCACACTCTTTTCTCCCAAGGTGTAACAGGCAGGAAGGAAATGGAGGAAGATGGTGGGAACCTGCTTGACAAGAAGGCTTTGATGTGGAGTATATTGAAAGTGACCCTGAGTTCTAAATGGAAAATAAAAACTTGGAGGAAGCCTGGCCAGCTGCTCACCACGCCAGGCCAGGAATGCTTTCACAGAGCCCCTGAGCCAAGTCAGCCGTTTCGAAGAGAGCCCCAAGAGGGTGAGATCAGAATCTGGCAGGAAATCCCACCCCTGTCCAAGCAGTAAGTTCCCTGAGGCTCTATCCAGGCCATCCTGCGGCGGTTTTCACTGTGTGGATGGAGCTGGCCAGAGAGAGGATTCCGCTCTCATGAATGTGGGTTCTCCCCACTGCTGGAGAAGAGAGTGTGGCTTCAAGGACCCACTTTCCAGCCAGGTCCTAACAGAGATGTAATGGACACAGCACTGCCTGGAAGTCCTGAGACGGGCTCCAGGCCTGGCCCTTTTCCACTTGCTACATAGTCCTGAGCTAGTTATTTCTTTCTCAACTGCAAAGAAAATGTTCCTTCCAGTGACACCTACAATCTGCCCCACCTCCACCAAACTCCACCAGTTTAAGATCCTGCCATTTATCTCCTCGATGGTCCCTCGGCCTGTTTTTTCTTAAATGGGTTGGGACATGCGTTGGGGTGGTCGAAGCCTATGGGCAGGAGTTTAAAACTTTGAGGAAGGTTTTAAACCTCATTTTGAGTCTTTCAGACTCCAGTCCATAGCCTAGAAAGCTAGGTGATCATTCACTCATTTTATTAGCAATAGGTTTCAAGCCAAGAAGTCTCAGGAGTTGTATAAAAATTGGAAAATCTACTAATAAAAAAATAAACCACATGGCCCCTCAGCTTAAAAACAGAATAACTCCTCCCCCATGTTCTGTGACACAGAAAAGGTGCAGGCAGAAAACCCAGAGGAGCTACCAGCTCCCTTTCCTGCTCAGGGTGGTCAAGCCTGTTTCCAGCAGCATTTGTTGTTGTTGTTCATTCGCCAAGTCATGTCCAACTCTTTTTGACCCCATGGACTGCAGGCCTACCTGTCCCTCACCATCTCTCGGAGTTTGCCTAAGTTCATGTCCATTGAGTCAGTGATGCCATCCAACCATCTCGTCCTCTGTCACCCCTTCTCCTCCTGCCTTCAATCTTTCCCAGCATCAGGGTCTTTCCCAATGAATTGACTCTTTGCATCAGGTGGCCAAAGTATTGGCACTTCAGCATCAGTCCTTCTGAAGAATATTCAGGGTTGATTTCCTTTAGGATTGACTGGTTTGATCTCATTGCTGTCCAAGAGACTCTCAAGAGTCTTCTCCAGCACCACAGTTCAAAAGCATCAATTCTTCGGTGCTCCAGCAGCATGAAATTTCACATTTACGTCTCCTGGTTGCCTGGATTTTACCACAGCTCTGGAGCTTTATTGAGGGAGCCCAGCTCTTGGTCCCTCCTGCTTTCCCAGACGGCCCTCTCTGCAAAGTGTGGGTAAGGTACCCACAATCAGCCTTCACCTACACATGAGCCTCCAGTGGGAAGCCAGCACCCCACTGACTGCAGTGCTTATTCAATCTAGGGAGGGGGGTGGCAACTGTCCTCCCCCTTTAAAATCCTTAGGAGATATTTAATGATAGAATAGGTACACTAAAATGCTCAGGAAGGCAGAGAGGTGGGGGCAAGGAACGGGAGCTGAGAGGTCTCAGGCACCTCACTGCCCCACCTGGTCTTCAGTTACCTGGTTGGTAAAATGAAGGGGTGAGCTTTCCCATCTCAGCTTTTCTAAGAAACTCTGACCTAAAATGACTGGGCGAAGAGTGAACCCGCATCTTGAAGATGCAATAACCTTGAAGATGCAATAACCCATTGCTGTTACTGGGTTAGTCTGTCCACACGAACTGGAGTAACCGGTCAGTGGTGGCTGGAGTTGGAAGTCGGGTGCAGGGTAGTACAGTGGGGCTGGGACTCATTTTCCATAATGAATACAATCTAATTAAGACAAATAATTGATTCCACATCCTGTTTCTTTGAGAACTCTGACTCCCTGGTCCAGACTACAAAAGGAAGATAAAGTAGAACCAAGCCCTTGAAGATGAATATTTGATGAGACAGCAAAGGGAAAGCAACAGTATATGGAAAACGAAAAGAGAATAAATTGATTCATATCCTTTGGGTTTACTTTTTTATTGACCTCGCACACCAGGTTCCCGAGACTGCCCCTCCCCAACTCCCCAGCCTTCCGTTTTTTGTTCAGCTGATCATGTCTCTGTATGAAGAAGCTGAGAATGGCATTCATCTTGGCAACTTAGGATTTCTTTAGTACAAATTTATAAAAATGTGTGCCTATGCTTTTAGCACCCACAGTTGAAGTCCCTTTATAAAGATGCATCTAAAAACCCACCAGGATAATATAAAGTAAGCCTGTTTTGCATTCATGTGATGCATTGTACTTGAATATTTATCATCTCAGTCATCCTTAGAGTTTACATCCTGTCCCCTTTTTGGTCCTGTTCTGGACATTGAGCAAGAACCTGGCTCCTGGAACTTGTTTCTCCTGTTTGTATAATACATTTAAAAAAACCAAAACCTTATTCTCCCACTCCCAGGACGATGAATGGCATCATATCTAGAAAACACTGTATTTATATTGCACCATTTTTAGAGGGGTTTCAAGCTCTGTGATCATTACTTTTTTATTAATGAGAACAGAGGGCACCATACTTATTTGTTTGGGGTTTTAAGATCAGGTCGAGGGAACAAATTAACCCGAAAAGGTATTTTTCCCTGCTGGGATTTTTTTCATGAATAAAAATTGATTAAGCCACAGCGAACAACCTTCCCCCTGCAGTGACTGTGACCGCTCGCCTCTCAGCACTCCTGCTCAATGCTGCGTGTCATCGCTGTCACCACATACAGAGCCCGGGTTGGCCAGCCATCTTCTCCAAAGCGTTTTACTATGAAGGGACAAATCCAGACCACCTGCCAGGGATGGGACCTATCTGTTGGAACCTGACCCATTTCAGACAATAAAAGATCTCACTGGACCACAGCCACCCTGGACTAATCACCTTCCTTGGTGTGCTGGGGACCAGTTCTCTGCTATTTCAGAGCCGCCACAATAAGCCTGCCAGGAATCATTCACCTTCCCATTGTTTGTGAACCCCATCTCCTCCCTGTTTATCTTCATAGGAAAAATCAGAGGCTGGCAGGGGAGCCAGTGTGCCTTCTTCATTTGTTCTGGATAAACAATTATGCTCTGTGTGACTTCTCTTTGAGCTATTATGTAAAGGGGAAAAGAAATACTCTATGTGGCCATTTCGTTTTTTCTCCTGTGGACTGGCCTATCCATCAGGTGGTTTAAGTGGCATGCTTACGCAGGGGAGAAGCCAGTAATTGCAGTGTACCTTTCACTGACGTTAAAAGTGACGTTAAAGGTGGTAACAGAAAAAAGGAGAACTTCTAAAATGAAGGGCTATTTAATGAATGCATTGGTAACCATCTTCTGGCACCTTCTGGTTAAGAACTCTTGAGTCAGAAGTCACAGTGGGCTCAACAAACAGGCATTTATTTATCTAAAATATTTCACCAGGGAAACCCTCGGTTGTGATTTCATTCACGTGGATGCTGCGAGCAGAGAGACTGCCACCTGGAGTTAGGAGTAAGTACCTGGTGTGGACGCAAAGAGGTTAGGTTTCTTATTCCATCGAGTGCCGCCTTCTCCTGGTGTGTTCCGGTGGGAAGGTGGCTGCAGGATGGAGTGGAGGGAGCCCTGAGTGTGGAGTTAGTAGACCTGATTTCAGATCCTGGTTCTGCTCCTAACTGGCTGTGTTGGCTTCCTCTGCATCTTTGTTTTCTTGTCTGCAAGAACAAAAGAGCCAGGGCGATCTGCCAGCTGGTCTCCGGGTCCCGCTCAGGCTCAGGTCGTGTAATGGTGGTCGTCAATACCTCCAGACCAGCCTTTTTTGGCTAGTTGTAAAGATCTGCAGATTGTCCTGTCCAGGGGTACAAGGGCACCATTGAAGAACTGAGCCTGGGGACTGAAAGAGAGGATTTCCTTCAATCTGGGAACATGAAGGTGATCAATAGGCCTGGGTCTCAACTCCGTGTTGTGGGCTCCCACGGGAGATGCTGGCTGGGATGGTCTCATTCTTAAGTGGCTCAACTCTGTCTAGAAAGGCTGTGTTGTGAGGTAGGGGTTAGAGGCGGGACCTTGTCCTTCCCCATTCCACCCCTACACACTGTGCAAAAAGGCATAATCCACTTATCCTCAGTCCCGTCACTCCACATGGAGACCTAGAAAGCCCGAGAGAAGCAGAAGGGGCTGAGCTTCAGGTTCAGAAAGGCCATCTCAGGACTTCCCTGGTGGTCCAGTGCTTAAGACTCTGATCTCCCACTGCAGGGGCCACGGGTTCGATCCCCAGTCGGGGAACTAAGATCTTGCATGCCACATAGTACAGCTGGAAAGAAAAGAAAGACAGAAATGCCATCTCACCCACCTGCCTAACTTCTCTCCCTGGAGCCTTGTCCTGTGTTTCCTCTGCTCCCAGAAAGGATGGAGTATGCAGTGGACATTGACTCACTTTGAGGTTATACAGCAGGTCTAGAATATGCACAGGGTCAGATCCTCGCCCAGAAAGCATTGCTCCAGCTCTGCCTGGCTTTGAAGTGTAAAGAAGTGTTCAGTGACCAAGTGTGGGTCATCCACTCTGAGTCCTCTCTTCCCTCCATTACGCCTCATTATACCACCATCTTCACAGAGGGGTGAGAACTGGCCTGAGGGGCGGCAGCCTGTGAGACGGGTGAGAAAGAGGGGAAAAGGTGGGGGTACCCGAGAGGGGCGGGGGCTGCCATCTCCTCCTGCCTCCTACCTCTTCACAAGTCGAATGTAAAGCCCCCAGGAAGCACAGAGACTGGAGAGGAGAGGCCGGCGCTGAAGCGAGATCAGAGTTTTAGCTGTACTAACAGCTCCCAGACAAATTGCTAATAATTCATGATTGCGGGTTCTTGGCAGTAAGGGCACAGTCTGCAGACGGCCTCTTCTGCTGCTAACAAAATCTGATTTTCAGTGTGAAAAATGGCTGAAGCATTCAGAAATGGTCCAGTCATAGCACCTCATTAACACACACACACACATACACTCCACACGCTAAAGAAAGCTTTCATTATCTCTGTAGCAAGTCTTTTTTAAAAATCAGGTCTTCCAAACTAGAACCTCAAAAGCAGTTTTCTTTCTTTTTTTTTTTTTAATTTTTATTGAGGTGTGATAGCTTTACATTGTTTTTATTAGTTTCTGCTGTATAGAAAAGTGAATCAGCTATACGTATACACAATCTCCTCTTGGATTTCCCTCCCGTTTAGGTCACCACAGAACACTGAGTAGGGTTCCCTGAACTATACAATAGGTTCTCATTAGTTCTCTATTTTATACATAATATCAATAGTGTGTATATGTCCATCCCGATCTCCCAAGTCATCCCCCTGCCCTAAAGCTGTTTTCCTTGTTTTTGCATGGCTAACAGCAAACTTCACAAAAGCTTACAAAAAGCCAGAGAAAAGTGGATTCAGTGCATGGGCCAGATGAGTTTGGCAAGTTGAGATGTGCCTTCCCTTGGCACCGGCTAAGTGTTTTTCTCCCCCTCTTCGCAGTGGCAAGGCCGAGCCGCCAGCTTCGACAGCGAGAGTTCGTGCCCGTCTCCGAAACCACCTCCGACACCATGAGCTGCACGGCGGTGGCCAGGCTACACAGACGAGACTCAGCAGCGTTCTTTTTGCACTTGTTCAACCGTCCAAACGCAGTGTTGTGCCGCAGCGGCCGCGGGGGCAGCGCGCCTCTCACTCCGGAGTCTTAGCTGCCCCTGTGTCAGTCAAGGCCGAGACACTTGTCATGTGGTCAGAGCTGTCTTAGTCTTTTCTGTCTCCCACGGTGATGTTTTCATGGTTCTTTCACTTTTTATGGATCTGCTGTCGAGAAGAAAAGCAGAGAAAAACAAAGAAGGGAGAGCCCAGATGTTGGTTCTATTAAATACAATGTAAAATGGTCGTCTTTGGTGGGAAGGTGGTCTGACTTTCTGAAATTTTGTGTCTCCACCGCGCTCCATGACCCTGGAGAAGGATGAGCAGTGGCTGCTTTGTTCAGTGGCCCGTGGGAGGTTGCAGATCTGGCCATGAGCCTTTACAGAGGTGACTCATGACTCTTAGAAGCTCTTTGCTGTTGTGACATAAACCAAGGTTCCGACTCCTGGTCCCATGTTGAAATCGCGAGCACTCAGAGCTACCTGTGAGCCTTCAACTGGCTGGTCGTGCAGAGCTCCTGGCTCCCCATCCTTGGAACTTTCCTCCTGAATTGAACATGACTTGATCCCTCATGGGAACTGAGTCGCTTTTGTTAGGAACGGTTCTGCTGAAACAAAACATGCCATATGTTTTCTGGCGCGCCACAGTTAATGACCACATTTGTTTGAAAACAGGATCTTTGTTCTCAAAAATAACCTTCGTTGTAAAAAAAAAAAAAAGGAAGCACATATGTTCTGGAATGATTTCTGCGTTATACATAGCTTTCTAATTCCATGAAGTATCAAGCAGCTGTTTAAAATGCCTAAACAGATCAAAGAAAAACCTACATAAAATGTTCTTTTCTGAATGGGGAGTTTTGAAATCTAGGTAATAGGTGGAGTGTATCTTTCTATGAAGAGTACCTTCTTGATTGAAACCAAGTCAGCTTAAGTCTATTTCAGCCGCCTTGACTCTGGGACAATGTTCATCTTAACTTTAGTTCTATAAATTATTAAGTATTTCAGTGTTTGTTTCAGTGGTAGTGAATGATTTTTTTTTTTCTTTAAATCTCTACTGTAGGTCAGATTCAGTTTAAGAAAAAAGTATGTTTGAACTATTCTGTATTGTAATCGTACATTTCTGTTGAGTTAATTAGTGGCCTTCCCACCAACCCCCTAGAACTAGGTTGATTTGCTCCATCAGTGTGGTAAATGTGCGGGTGGGTCTTCACTTCTGTGTGTAGCTGAGAAATGCCAGTTTCTAGAGCTGTGTGTGTAACTTGCAAGAGGCAGGTCTGCTGAAGAAGTGCTTCTTTCAACAATGGAAGGTCAAGAATGTAAAAACTGTTCACACACCTTGTGTCTTACTCTTTATATGTGACACATGCTTTAGGAGCAGCAACTCAATAAAGCTACCCTTGTTTTAAGTCAAGTTATCAGATTTCTGTGTTGATATAACATTGAATAGTGTCTTCTAATCCTCAAGATGACCAAATTGGGCAGGAGGTAACAAGATATTGTGGCAAAAGAGGTTTTCAGCTTTAAAAAATGTAAATAAACCCAGAATACACCCTGTACTGAGCTTTCAGTTCAGTTCAGTTCAGTCACTCAGTCGTGTCCGACTCTTTGTAACCGCATGAATTGCAGCACGCCAGGCCTCCCTGTCCATCACCAACTCCCGGAGTTCACCCAAACTCATGTGCATCAAGTCGGTGATGCCATCCAGCCATCTCATCCTCTGTCGTCCACTTCTCCTGCCCCCAATCCCTCCCAGCATCAGGGTCTTTTCCAATGAGTCACCTCTTCGCATGAGGTAGCCAAAGTATTGGAGTTTCAGCCTCAGCATCAGTCCTTCCAATGAACATCCAGGACTTCTTTAGGATGGACTGGTTGGATCTCCTTGCAGTCCAAGGGACTCTCAAGAGTCTTCTCCAACACCACAGTTCAAAAGCATCAATTCTTCAGNAAAAGGCCATGAGCTTCATTCTTGACTCTCGAATGATCCCGTCAAGATGGCCATGTCAATCATTAGGCAGATGCTACAAGTCCTGCAACTATGAAGGGGGCAGCAGGCTTCCTGAGTCAGGAGCCCAGAAATTTGTGTGAAGGGGTCCTTCTAGAAGTAAAATTGAAATGCACATGCACAATCCATCATCTTCAAACCTGGAGGCAGATGAGGATGCTGCCTTAGAGTGGTTTCTTCTTGGAAAAGGGAGTGTGATCAGTGTGAATCAGGGAAGAGTTACTGCTCTTAGACATTCCTTTTATGTCCAAGCAACTGTCTCACATGAGTGAGCCTCCCAGTGCCTTTGGAAGTGCCTTTGGAGCTCCTCCCTGAGCAGCTTACAGTCAGCCTCCACACCACCCTGACCAACTGCTGCCACTCCTGCTCCAGCAGTCTCGGTAAATGTCTGTAGGCTGGAAAGCCCACCCCAGGGAGGCTCTCAGCTCTGGAACCCCATCCCCAGCATCCTCAAGGGAGACCAGTACTCAACCCAAAGCGTGAATTTATGCCAATTTCTCTGTCTACCCTGTTCTTTCTCCTTCACAGATGAGAATACAATGATTACAAGTTGCAGAATGACATGAAATTCCAGGTTGATTCATTTGTCAGCTTCCTCTGCTAGGAGAAACGTCTTTCTTGGGTTGGTGATGTGAGCTTTGCTGAAGTCACGACGTGTGTGTGCATGCATGCTCAGTCACTTCAGTCATGTCCAACTCTTTTGCAACCCCATGGACTGTAGTCCACCAGGCTTCTCTGTCCATGGGATCATTCTTGACTCTCGAATGATCCCATCAAGATGGCCATTTCAGTCATTAGGCAGATGCTGCAAGTCCTGCAACTACGAAGGGGGCAGTGGGCTTCCTCGGTCAGGAGCCCAGAAATTTATGTGAGGGGATCCTTCTAGAAGTGAGCTCAAAATGCACATGCCACTGTCCATCATCTTCAAACCTGGAGGCAGATGAGGATGCTGCTTTAGAGCAGTTCCTTCTTGGAGAAGGGAGTATGATCAGTGTGAATCAGGCAAGAATACTGGAGTAGGTTGTCATGCCCTCCTCCAAGAATCTTCCCAACCCAGGGATCGAACCCGCATCTCCTGTGTCTCCTGCATAAAGGGCAGGTGGTTCTTTACCAGTAGTGCTACCTGGGAAGCCCCAAAGTCACAATAACCAGGGCCTTTTGCATATCAGTTTTTTTTTTTTTTTTTAATGCAAAAGTGAAAGTGAAAGTCAGTCATGTCCGACTCTTTACCCCATGAACTATACAGTCCATGGAATTCTCCAGGCCAGAATACTGGAGTGGGTAGCCTTTTCCTTCTCCAGGGGATCTTCTCAACCCAGGGATCAAATCCAGGTCTCCCGTGTTGCAGGTAAATTCTTTACCAGCTGAGCCACAAAGGAAGCCCAAGAATACTGGAGTGGATAGCCTATCCCTTCTCCAGGGGACCTTCCTGACCCAGGAATCGAACTGGGGTCTCCTGCATTGCAGGCGGATTCTTTACCAACTGAGCTATCAGGGAAGCCCTTTAAATGCAAAGTTCCTTTTATTGAGCAGTATTTCCAGGCTGAGGAATGCCTCTCCCCTCCTCTCCCCTTATCCTCAGGATGTTAATTAATTGCATCGTCATTTAAAAAATTATTGTTAATTACTGCTTTGTGTCTGCCCACCCCTGTCACAGCCTGGAGTTTTTATTCAATTAAATCTCTCTCTCTTGCCCATTTCTCTTGTCATTGTACATTCCTGAGCTTTAGCAGTCAGCACACATACAGGATACTGCAAAGCTTTTACTTTTAATCTCTGTTTCACATAGGTAACCCACTTCCCTTCAATCAAGGTACAGCAAAGGACTTGTTTGTTTTTTATTCTGCCCGAGGAATACCTGCATGCCCTGGAAGGCTGGACTCCACCTGGAGTTTTGTCAGACTTGTAGCTCACAGAGCATTTGGTACGCTGGGCTCTGCTGTTTTCCTCAGCTCTTCGGCTCAACAAGCAGCCCTTCCAGATGCTGAAGCTTCTCCAGGGAAGTGGGTCACACACTCATGTGGGGAAAGAGCGGTGCTTTCATTTACTTTGCAGTGCTTGATGAGAAAATCCTGTTGCAGACTCGGAAAAGAAAAAAAAAAAACTTAATGGAATAGCCTCTCTGCTCACCCCCAGCTTTTAATTAATTTAGAAAGCAGCCCATAGAGTGGAAAGTTCTCTCCCTTCCTGCACATCTGCATCTAAATTACTGGCACTCCACAATAAGACGCCACCAAGGGAGCTGAACAGATGTGAGAAGCACTCTGCTGTCCATGGAGGCAGCTTCCTCTTGCTCCTGCCTTCCCATCAGATCACCCGCCAGCCACCGGCCTCTGATGTGCTAGTCACATCTAGAGCAGATCAACCATCAGGGTTAATGGGTTGGGCTGGCTAGGCTGGGTTATGCAATAGTAACAGCCTTCACATTTCAGCGATTGCAAACAACAAAGGCTTATTTCTCATTCAAGCTTAATATTCATCACAGAGGTTCTGTTCATGGGATTGATTCGGGGAACTCAGGGTGACAAAGCGGCCAACGCCTTAGACAGTGCCAGTTGCCATGCCTTTGGGTAAAGAGCATGCAGAAGGGTCTCATCCTGGGTTCAGTGCTCTGACTTAAAAGGAACACGTGTCACTTTCCTTCACAGTTCATTGCCCAGAACTATTCGTGTGGCCTCCAAAACCTAAGGAGTTCAAGCTACCAGAGGAAGAGAAAGTAGAAATATTTGATCATCAGCATGTGGGAAGACCACAGTGAACTCCACAGACCCATGAAGGGTGACAGCTACTGAAGGATTGATTTAAAGACACTAATAAAGGAAAACTGTAGTCTATTCATTTTTGCATGAAATCAAGAACTGTACCTCGAGTCTCACTGATGTATATTGGGTCACACAACTGTGCTAGCCTCAGATTTAAATCTTGTCCACAAAAAGCTTTCTAGTCTAGTAAGTTGATAACGTAAGTAACTCTTAGTCCAATGTACAAAGTGGTCATTACAGGAAGGGAGGTGAAATAAAAGACTATGGAAGTACACTAAAGAATAACATAGCTCTGCAGATTGAGTGACAGCTCAAGGAATGAGGCACCCTTGATCTAGGATGGGTAGGACTGGCGGATGTGGAAGTTGTGAGGAGGAGGCACATTCCAGACTGAGGAGTCCGTACAGGTAAAGACCAGAGCAGTGGAATTCCCAGAGCTGCCACGCAGCCTGCATCTAGGGGCGACCAAGAGCCCCTGAACACAATGCCCCCCTTGCTTGCATTGTCTGCCCAGGCAGGATGCTGGACTGCTCTCCCAAGGAGTACGCCTTTCCCCTGCCCTGGCCCTTGCCTAGTTCAGCCACCTCCCCTGGGAAATGCACCTGCTGCCCCTCCCCTCTCCATTTCAGGCTTTACTTCTGCTCCCAAAAGGGCTGATCACCTGGAACTTCAAGACTCGCCTGAATCTGAGTCTTGGTCCAACTGCCACACCTCATCCACTTACCCAGCCTCACCTCCTAAGGGTATTACTCAGCCACAAGCCACTCTGTTTAGTCGCTCAGTCATGTCCCACTCTTTGCGACCCCACTGACTATAGCCCACAAGGCTCTTCTGTCCATGTGATTTGCCAGGCAAGAATACTGGAGTGAGTTGCCATTTCCTTCTCCAACAAGCCACTTGGGACTTCACAATTCGTCCCATGTCCTGCTCTGCTCCTCTTTGGAGTAAGCCCTATCCAAGTGTCTAATCTTCTACTGGAGGGAACAGGACTGGCCTCTTCCTGGCTTTCCTCTGGCTAGGTCACAGCTGCACCCCCAGCACAGATGTGGCAAACCCACAGGGAGAGACTCACGAGTGGACCTAGGACGGGGCTAGCATAGGCAGTGAACAGGGAAACAAGGGTGTCTGTGCAGGATGTGATGCTCACAGATAGAAAACCCCATGGTGCTGATAGCTGAGCAGATCTGAAAGGAGGGAGAGGGAAACGGGATTCGAAGTTGTTGGTCTTACACTTGAGGCACCAGAAAAATGGTGGCGCCTTCCATGGAAACCAGAAACTCAGCAGAACAAGGGATAAACTGATGAGTCTAATTTGAGCCCACCTGAGTTTGAGATGCTGGAGGACTGTCTGGCAGACAGCTGCAGTCAACATGTAGCTTGGCAGAGAGGTCAGGCATGAGATGTTAATTCATAGAAAGCTCACACAGCAAAATGAGATGTGAAAACAGGAGGCTGACGCTGCCACGCCAACACCAGCAGAAAAGGAGAGTCTCATAGAGAGGTTCTCCAGGATCCATCAACATTTAGAGGTCAAGGAGAATGGAAGGGATGTGAATAATAACGGAGGTGTGTCCAAGCAAAGCTGATCGATGAAAATGTTAACGAACAAAAACATCAATCAAGGGCTTCATAAAATGATTCT